AAAAAAAAAAAAAAAAAAAAAAAAAAGAAAGAAAGAAACAGAAAGAAGAAAAAAAAAAGGCGTAATGATCTAGTGTTGTATTCGGGTGAGGATGATGGTGGTGGGCCATCGGAACGATTTAGTTGGGAAGCCCTTGAGAAAATCTGCTTGCTCACCTTCTTTTTTTGGGGGACGGGAGGGGGAGGGGGAGGGGGAGGGGGAGGGGAAGTGGGGGGTAACTACGGCACAGTCCTGTTTTCAGTTCGAAATCCACTTCAGGCATCCCTCGAATACAACACATCCCCACCCGACCCTGAGGCTGGGTTGGATACATTCACGATTTTCCTTCGCTTTGGAGACAAATTCCCTAACCGGTGACTGAAAACCTTGACTGATCTCAGATTAAAAAAAAAAAGAAAAACCTTGACTGCGCCTGACCAGTTTCCCCTTTCTTTCTGTTTTTTTTGGGGGGGGGTAAAACCAGGATGAGGGCTTCCAGATATCATCCTCCTCCTCCAGCAGGCCGGCATCAGGGAATCCAGAATTATTTTTCTTTCTGCTCCTATGCAGCTGGATTCGAACTCAGGCCTGTATTGTCACAAAGGTTTTTTTTCTTTTTGAAAGAATACAAGTCTTTATAATCACCATCATAGTGGGAGTTGGTGGTTTTGGTAGGTGGTGGTGCGATCCGTTCTAAATTGCGAGGAGGTGGGTGGGTCTTTGCAGGGTCTGAGTCTGTGGTTGGGGGGCTGCCGACCCAGACCCCTGCCGTGCGGAAGGTAGGGCGGATACGCAGGGTATGGTGTTAACAGAGGATGGACGACTTCGTTACTGGTGTTGAGTATAATTAGGGTTTTTTGCATACTTCTTTTCTTATGTTCTTTTTGTTGTTTTTGTTGAACCTTCTCTATGATGTAAGGGATGCCGGACCCATTTTCCGGATTGTATAATCCAAAAGCAGCCATCGTATGAACCAGGCCGGAGTGCCTGGATCATACGACACTGGCTGCCAGTGTTCTGGTAAACAAAAAAAAAAAAACAAAAAAAGCCGGGAACCTCACACTACCTACCTACCACTACTCCTAATTGTGAGGTGAAATTGAGAGAAGAACATAGCTTTTAAACCACTAGTACCTTTGCCGCCCGCGAAAATAGCGGGCCTCGGGTGGGCCTCCGACCTTGTCGGATGGCCGAAACGAAACGACGGCCGATCAGATTTATCAATGGCAGCCGTGGTCGGGCCCAGCCTCCGAATTTTCAGGAGTTTGGGAAAACTGCCAGTTTTCCCTCATTTCCCAACACTGGGCAAGGTAAAAATAAAAAATAAAAAATAAAAATAAATCCAGGAACCTCCCCCTGTGAGCATCAGCAGTCTCTGCTCAATGCCACTCGGGGGGACCACCGGCATATCTCTAGGTGACGGGCGCCAAGCTTGCCCAGGAACATGAGGCCAATGGGGATTGAACCCAAGACCTCCTGAATGGCACTTGCGCCTTGGACCCGAGGGGAGGCACAGTGACTGGCCCACAGAAGAAGCTCGGTCCTGATGCTACCGGCTGACCCCTGGCCTGATGCTACCCGCTGACCCCTGGCCGGGCAAGGTAAAAATAAAAAATAACAAATAAAAATAAATCCAGGAACCTTCCCCTGTGAGCATCAGCAGTCTCTGCTCAATGCCACTCGGGGGGGACCACCGGCATATCTCTAGGTGGTGGGCGCCAAGCTTGCCCAGGAACATGAGGCCGATGGGGATTGAACCCAAGACCTCCTGAATGGCACTTGCGTGCCTTGGACCCGAGGGGAGGCACAGTGACTGGCCCACCGAAGAAGCTCGGTCCTGATGCTACCGGCTGACCCCTGGCCGGTATCGCACACCAGCTGTAGCAGGGGTATGGCACCTGCTGGTGGGTGCAGCTCCCGCGTGTTCCCTCGTTGGAGGCTTGAGCACGGATGTGGCTGCTACAGGGTTCCCCGTAATATTATAATGACAATAAGAAAAGGCTTGAAAGGCCGTCCTGTCCAGATTCGACAGGTAATTGAATCGGAGAATTAGCCTTTAAAAAAAAAAAAAAAAAAAAAAAAAACAACGGCAACCGGGCCCGGCGATATATATCGTCCCACAGTTATCAGAGCGCAAAAGCGAAATCGAGGAAAACGTGTTCATTGATGGGAAAAAAAGGTCCGAAGGAAAAAAGAGCCAAAAGAAAAAGACGGCCAAACACGTTTGCAGTGAGGCGGGCCACGCAATTTGCTTCAAAGCAACGATTTCAGATTCTGACGAGAAAAAAAGCATGATGCCGCGGCCTCCTCTCCTTGGAAACGGAGCAATGCAAAATTTTCGATTTCTAGCGATGCTCCTTTTGAACTGGGAATTCTACATGCGGAGAAGTATTCAAATATATTGCCCATGCGTGTGCGAGAAGCAGTCTATGGCCACTGTTTTCACTATAATTCACCTTCTTATTTTTCTTCTTCTCTTCTTCTTCTTCTTCTTCTTCGTCTCTCTTCTTCTTCTTCTTCTTCTTCTTCTTCTTCACGCCCAGTCAGTTGCAGCTTCGAGGGCCGCCGCGGGTGTGCGGACGCAGCCTCCAGATATATGACTGAGGGCAAGGCCAGAACGGCCCTCTTTGCTCTGGGAAGGTTCGCCACGGTGGATGCGGGAGAGTGGATGCCCCTTGAGAAGTCCTGGTGCGCAGCCAGGCCAAACGAATGTGCGCGCAACAGCTGATTGTCCGTGCAGGTGCCGTTCTGTTTATCACTAAGGCATGGACGTATAGCGATTGGCCTCGCTTTTTCAAATTCAAATTCTTCTTCACGCTCGTGGGTGGCAAGGCGCTGGGTTTGTGGCATGCCTCCTGATGATGAGACCGGAGAGCATCCGAGAGCATCCGGTTGAAACGTAGAGGAATGCGTATGCGTTTCCAAGCTTGTGTACACGCTCATACTTCTTTGAAATATACTGGTTTGCGTGTAAAGGACGCTCATACTTCTTTGAAATATACTGGTTTGCGTGTAAAGGGCAATTGGCCATTGCTTGTCTTCTATCTTCTTCTTCTTCTTCTTCTTCTTCTTCTTCTTCTTCTTCTTCTTCACCTCTTCTTCTTCTTCTTCGTCACCTCTTCTTCTTCTTCTTCTTCACCTCTTCTTCTTCTACTTCAATAGTGAAAACAGCGGCAATAGTCTGCTTCTCGCACATGTTTCAACAGAAAAAAAAACATTCTTCTTCTTCTTCTACTTTTT